CAGTGGGGCGTGGGATTATTTGTTCAGACAAACAAAGCCTCTCAACATTCAATATAAGATAATAGGAAATATAACGTCTGTGCAAAGTAAGGAAGTGAATGAATACTTGAACTATATTGTTTTGCCATATGCTTGGTTGTTTAAGGTCAACTATTAGCCAACCAACCTAAGCTGTTACAGATCTACTAATACAATGGCACTGGTATTGAATTTGACCATAATTCTCGAGTTCTATCGCACAAACCCATTTGCTATCTAGTCTGTTTATCCGAATTAGTAAAAAATTACATCATTTTACTGATTTTACTAAATGAATGACCCCAGTTTGATAGTGTCTCACTTTCAAACTCAGACTGCATATGGTTGATCATGTATGCAAAAATATTATGAGCCTGTTACGGCAAGTAGGTATCAACAATTATGGTGAGACTAGATGATGAAATGTTAAGAGTCCACTGTCACTAGATATAATTTTGTACGACCCTGACATGGTTAACTCTACCGTACAACCGCATTTTGATTCAACCAAATAAATGAAATGATCGATAATAATGAATTTGTAACTCCATTCGCATCCAATTTTGTCCATTTTGACACGGATTTCATGGACTACAATAGGTATGTGAGTTACTGCGTTATCCTCTCTCCGTTTCTATTATCTACTCGGTCACCTGATTCCCATCGGAGCTATTTCTAAGCACGAAGTAGGTGGAAAGGTGAAACGTATTATAATTTGTCCCACAAAATCGACATGTTATTTCATAAGAATATGTACAGACATTCTTTAGATGAATTCAGGACGAACATATGGACAGCACTTTCAGCGTATATACATGAACAGAACTGGAAGTTACTGAATGTTGTAATGGATGCAACAAGGTCATTAAAAACCTCATTGAAGTGGGTATTATTGTAAAATCTATTGAAACATTTAAACCACACAATTGAGATATGCGCGAAGTCGGAGTTCACAAAAAGAGCGATTCGTCTTAAAAGTAGTTCTTTATTGAATAATATACATAAATTAGCTACAGGCTTCAACTTTTGAGGTATCTGTGAAACCCTGAATGTCTGTAAGTCTGAAGTAAAAAAGGCTCCCTGTAATAGTAACATAAAGAATAATTACCACATATGACAGTGCAAATGGCAGGAAATAGCAGTGTCTAATCTTCATAACAATTTGTCAACAAGCAAAATAGGAATCAGGAGCAGACAATATGAGGACCAGTGCGTCTAAACAAGGATTAAAGAACGATTCAACAACTGATTATAACTGCTACCGAGATTAAAAGGAAGTAATTATAATGATAAATACAATAAACGCTATAGGTGTATGTAAGTATTTTAGAATATTACACGACAAACCTGCACTACCACACATGCGTATAAATTGCCAGGAATACAATTGTTTATTGAATATTAATAAACAGTATAAAATAGTACACAGGAGTCAAAGGGAACTCAATAAGGGCAGAGAAAGTAAAAAAGGCTTGGCAACTATGGAATACGTGCTAATCCATATCCTACTAACTGGAATATTTAATCTGTCCCATGATTAATACATTGTAGATCACCAATGTAGATGATTTATATCGAATGATTGAGGGCTTATTAGAGTTAGACGGAAATGCTGTGACAAACCAGCTAACGTCGGAGTCACATCTCGCGGTCAGCACTTTATGTGTATTGCCCTATCAACAAATTTTGAAGACTGTACAAAACAGAAAAAGTTATTACAGAAACATATTATTACTATAGATACAAGCGAAAGTAAGACCATCACCGCATGGGCCAGTCCAGGGCGTATGATTAATTGATGAGCGTTGGTCATCCTTGATCTTGACAGGGATCGATGATCGGTTAGGTTTTCAGTGACTGAACTGCCGGATGGTTTGGCTAGGGCCTAGTGAAATTTCTCCGGCCCTACAACATTTTCCTGTGGTAATGGAGAACTAACTGCATTATTCACACTTCGGAAAGGAGCCCGGACTGGATATAGTCAACAATCACCCGATTAACAACACTTCCATCTTGTCTAGAACTAAGAAGGCAACTAGCACTCATCTAGATATACGACAATTGATTGTGTCTTCACAACATTAATTTATTTCGAAAACGTCAAGCATAACCTGTTACCTAGAATACGTTGATTATACCGTAAATAATAGGGATGAGGGGACGCTAGCTGTCTCTCTTTACTTCGGCTTTACTAAAGCATTTGATGAAGTACAACACTGTTCTGTCCTTTAACTTACACCATCAGTTATCTTAATGGCAGCGCGATATACTAAATAGACGTTGAACTCAGAATAAAAAATTTTAGCTGTCCGTTTTACTTGCGACATGGAGCTGGTAGCGACAGTGTATTCTAACAAGGTGTGCGACATAGAGCTTAAATTGAAACAATATTTATGTATTCCACCCGTTTACGAGGGCCTAGCATCAGGAAAAAGGGTGGGTGACGTTACTGGGAGGCAAATATGATGGTGGGAAGATAGCTTCAATTCACTCATATTTGTATGGCAAAACATTTTTTTAAATTGCGGCTCCATGCGGTTCAGTGGGTTGTCACGAATCAATGGTATTGATGAAAAGTTTTTATGCCAAATACTTCTTCGACTCATATCCATGACCTTGAATTGGCTTTTTTTCCACTGGAAAAACTAGAAGATTGCGCTAAATAGAAGTTCACATATGACTCGATAAAAGTTATAAAAAGAAAATCCGGTTATAATAACTTCGATGACACTATTGAGAGGCAAAAACTAATACGTTCAACTTGACGTCTTCGGCTGACTGCTCTGGACTTTAATTTTATTCATTCTCGACCACTAATTGCTTGTTACAAAGCAACCCCCACAAAGCGCGTCATATTACCATTAATATTCTAATGTATGAAAATTTATCCCCTGTTTATATTACTCGTGTACCCCATAACATATCAACATTACTTTGCAACTTAATGAAGTAAGGCATGTAGCATCTGTAATAATTTGATCTTGTCTGTAATTTGGCATGCTCCATGTAACATACGGTTATCTGAAAATACATAACATTATTATATGATCAGAATCTCTGTTTCATCAACGACAAGACCGGCTGACTAACGAGCGCAGATATCACAGCAGTTCCATCTACTTATCTATAGTTTCTGATGCACTTGGGAAACCGAGTTATATGACTCCGGAAATTTTCAGTTAATTCAGGACTTTCAGGTTTCTGGTAGTAGATAAAGATTTTTTCTAAGTTTTTAGGGTGTGTAAAGGATGATTTTTCAGAGGTTTTCTATTATGGACTACCAATCTTACTTACATGTTACCCCGATTAGGCAGTCAAATGCAGAGACTCTTCTGCTCGAACAGGCGGACTCTGTCTACGAATGTGGTTGATTTGGCGTGCACATAAGATATTTAAAGTGTCAGAATATGGTAGATGAAGTGATGTGGTTAACATATGCTCATAAGTTTTCTTAACTTGGAAGTAGGACATAGTGATGGACGTTGGCATGATCAAACATTTCACTGAAGGTCAACATGAGGAATAATAGACTGTAGAGTCTTTGTCAAATGATAAACCCTGTGTACAATATTCGGCTTCTGCCTCAACCTTCAAATGCAAAACGTGCAGTTGTGCTCACAGAGATCCGTCTGACCAAAAATAAACATTTTTGGTTATTCCTAGTTAGTATGAAAATTCGACTTCTGTTCTCTACGTAGTCTTCTTTTACCACGGAAAGCGTGGAGCATTTACAGGAGAACCGTGAACCCACTAGCACAATTAAAGGGATGAAGACAGATGGTTATTCAGAATAAAAAGGAACCACATTCAAATTCAGTCGTTTTTCGGATTTATCTATAATGGTTAATATTCGAATTCGTACGACTTAGACTGACTACTTCTTAGAATTAGTTATAAATATCTTGTTACATGAATGGATTGCTGCTCTATTACCAAACTAAATATCTATAATTAAGCAAGAAAACTAATTTACCGAAGATTTTGCATACTCTTCTTTCATGCTTATCCTCATATAGAGTGCAGCTCAAATAAGGCCAAAAAGGAATTCCATCGAGAGCCACCCAAGAACCATCAAAAAGCGAAACACTCAGATGTATCAACGGTGGTGGATGATTTCAGTCTCCAAGTGGGTATGCTGAACCAAACAAAAAGTCACTAAACTGTATCTTACGGCGCCACGGCTCGGAGGACATATAAAAACGTTTTTCCACTCCAATTATGTTTAGACAATGATCTGTTCATAGCAAGCACCAAAGTTAGGCCTAAGGAAAGTCGTCATCTGACGCGCGGTGACGCAAGTAGACCACGGTGGAATAGGTCATTGTTGAAAAAGCTTCATAGGAGACTACCGCCTATTATGAATTAAGTACTTAGACTGTGACTTTGCATCATTACGAGCACATATTTTTCCGTTCCAATGATTGTAGAAAAGTCATGGCTAGTAAAAACTTTAGGACTCACTGAAGGAGTTAGTTAGCCATAAAAATGACAACCACCACAAAGTCGCTTGATATTATAGGTACAGATACAGCTGTAGAGACAGTAGTAATATCTACTAGCAGCTAATGTTAAACGGTTGGGAAATCCGGTGAATTCTGGCGGTGTCTGATGAACCGATAGATGATCGAAGACTCGTGGTTGAGAATACGACCAGGAGTAAATGAAACTAATATGAGAGCTGGTGAACGGTCTACTCAGTGATCATGAGCAGTAACGAGTAGATAATGCAAAAGAGGTGGGAAAGGCGGAAAAAGTAAGCCACACTAACGATCTTAAGCAATTTGTCAGCCACTCAGAAAGTGCTTCTTAGTTCTAAGTCAATTATTAATAATAAGTATAACGAATTATGGATTAATAGATTTGAATATGTTTGTTCTGAGCAGGTTGATCTTGCTGTCGAATCACCCTCATTTTCAATCCACTGTCCAAATATTCGGACAAATACTATCCACCAATAGGTTGTCCTACGTTATGATATAAACATGAAACGACTCAAAAGATGGGATTTAGATGCAGCTGCTGCTCGTGTACGTCAAATACCACAACCTTATCAGGCTACACTAAAAGGTCCAGCAAGTGTTAGAAAAATATTCCGTAAACAAGAAGATGCTATTAACTTTGCCAAACAGTTTGGTCAGGAAATGATGGTCTTCAGTTATGAAAGCTTATCCCTTGGGAATGAAGGTCAACGTTCATTTTTAGCATGTGGAATCCAGTCGTTCTTTTACACGTACAAGCAAACGGCGCCTTCTTCTCGTTGTCATTATGAAGTAATTATGGTAGACAGACCAGCTAAATTATATTTGGATATAGAATTTTGTAGGTTATCTAATCAAAATAAAGATGGAGAAGTAGCTGTTAATACATTTCTAATGGCTTTGTGTGCTTGTATTCGATTCTTCTATGATGTAATTATTGAACCCAGTGAAATATTTATATTGGATGCAAGCACTTCCAAGAAATTTAGTCAACATGTCATAATCAACAGTAAAAATCTTGTATTTCGAAGCAATTTAGAACAAGGTCAGCTGATTCGTATACTTTGTACAAATTAACTCGTATATGTTGAACTAATCCCTATAGTAAAGAAAAGTGGTCATAACCACATGGGATTTTTAGCACCAACTGGCATCAGCCAGACTGTATGATGTTAGGGCTAGACGGTAAGAGTTGAGCTACGGTTGAGTTTGGTTTGCAACTCATCACGAACCGCTTTCGGCTGTAATGAGGTGATTCCTTAGTACCATTTTATCTACAAACTAATGATTCCCATTTTCGAGGTTGTGAGTCATGAATTAGGATAAAAATAGGTCACTGCAGGATACCTGCTAGAAAAGATTTACACTTTCGATACGTGGCGGTTTCTTTCGTGAGACTGATCAACAAATGTGCAATTCTAGGACGAAAGGGTTGGTGGAACAGGAAGCGATCGTTGATCCTCGAATTGCCACCGTAGGTCTTTTACGTGGAACGGTACCAGGAGAACCTTTCTGTATTTGTTGCTCGAGTTAGCATACCACATCCGATTGATTCGTATCCAGGATCTGGGGATTGCGTTCAAAGTGGTGCGGACCACAAAACGCAGCAGACATAGGACGAAACCACGTTGAGCCAAGGAACCAAAAGCGACCATGACAACCAATTGCGGGACCAAACATATGCCAGACATATTCGGAACCAGAACATCAACTGAGTGCGTTGACAAAAGCATGGGTGATCAAGCCAGCTTTTGCCAAGGCTGACTGAAGTCGACGGTACTGAATGGGTGATGGTCGGAGGTGTGAGCTCAGGATACAAAAAAAATCAAAATGAGAGAGAAAAAAAGGTGAATCATGAATGTAGTATAAGAATAGTCCCGCATTGTATCTGTTGTTGATTGTGCGGTTAGTCGCAAAGGCTTACGGGTAGGCGTACTTGACGACCGGAACGTGAAACGGTGGTCTCATTTGTACTTTGTGAGCCTGCACTTTCATCCGAAGTCGAGGGCTGCGTGGTCTGCTGATCTGGACGTCAGGCGGAAGTCTCGTCCATAGATGATGCAGGTGATACGTGCTGTTGATCAGGACGTGAGAATGAGGTGTCTGATGTATCTAGCGTGGTATATGAAGTAGATGTAGGGATCACGCTAGCAGGTTTGATCGGTCTAACATTGGGTCTTAAGTTGTCATTCAGGGCATTGTCATCGACGTGTGCTGGCTTGAGACGATCAATGTTGACGATCTCGACGCGGCCATGTCGATCAACCTTGAAGGTATTTTCGTGACGAGAGATCACGTGAAAAGGTCCTTCATAAGGCTGTTGCAAAAGTTTGTGTACCGAATCTACTCGTATGAAAACATGTGAACAGGTAGATAACTCTCGAGGGAGAGCGACCTGTCAATCTTGTAATGGAGTTGACGCTGGAGGCAGTGTTCGCATAAATTCAGACAGTCGATGGACGTAGTATGATTGACCGAAATTGTTACTGCTTTGTGGTGTGAAAAATTCCCCAGGCAGACGCAATATCGTGCCGTATACACGTTCAGCGGCGGAACATTGAATATCTGCCTTTAAGCTCGTTCTGATACCTAAAAGGACAATCGGTAGGGTTTCGTACCAATTTTTATTTTCGTGTGCTCGAAGAGCACTTTAAAGTTGGCTATGAAACGGTTCAACTAAATCATTTGATGCTGGGTCGTAGGTGGTAGTGCGTATTCGTTCCGTACCAAGCAGCCGGGTCCGTGAAGAGAATAATGCGGACTCGAATTGTTTTCCTCGGTCGGTCGTGACAGTCGAGGGACAACCGTACAGTGCTATTCATCGTTATACAAGGCGGTGAGCAACTGTCTCCGCCTTAATAGACGTGACGAGTATAGGTCATCTTGTAAAACGATCGATGCACGTGACTAAGTGATCATACCCGTGCGATCGTGGCAATGGTCCCACAATGTCTCTGTGAACGTGATCGAAGCGAGCATCAGGCGTTGCGAACGTTTTAATGGGGGCAACTGCGTACCTGTGCACTTTTGATCGTTGACATTGTAAGCATTGCTTTACCCACACACGGACATCTTTATTCATGGACGGCTAAACGTATCGTGCAGCGACGAGGCGTAACGTAGCCGCGATACCTGAATGAGACAGTCCATGCAGGGCATCGAAGACGAGACGACGGTAAACAGAGGGTACGATGGTTCAGGGAAGACCAGTAGAAGTATCACGTAGGATGGTATCTGAACTAGTAGCTAGGGGTACTTCCTAGCACTGAAGGGATGTAGATTGTGGTGCGTCTGTACAAAAAGGGTCGTTTGTTTGAGCGGCGGCCATAGCAGGAATATTGAGCACCGGTGAAGTAACGTCATTCACTTGGATACGTGACAGAGCATCAGCAACATAGTTCGACCCGCCTTTAATGTGACGGTCTGTCGTGAACTGAGAGATATAGTCCAAATATCTTCACTGTCGTGGTGAGTAACGGTCAGACTTCGTATGCAGAGCATACGTTAAAGGCTTGTGGTCGGTGAATAAGATGAAATTGCGACCTTCTACCGCGTGCCTAAAATGTTTTATTGCATAGTAGGCTGCTAGCAGCTTTCAGCCAAAAGCGCTATATCTCGTCTCCATGGGAGTAAGGCGTTGTGAAAAAATGTCAAGAGGTTGCCAACTACCGGAGATGTTCTGTTGCATGACAGCTTCTATAGCGAAATCCGATGCATCAACCGCTATACTAAGCGTGGCTGATTAGTCAGGATGAGCGGGGAGTGTGACTTGAGCCAGAACCGTTTTGACTTCTGAAAATGCATTACGTTTGGCATCGTTCAATTCTAATTTGCGTGGATTATCAAGGAGTAAATCGGTTAATGGTCGTAACCGTTCTGACGCGTGTGGGATGAAACGTCGATAGAAGTTAACCAAACAGAGAAATGCATTCAGTTTCTTGAGTGTGGACGGCATGTTGTACTCCCTTATTGCACGTGCTTTGTCCTCACAAGGTAAAATACGCTCTTGCTTAATGATGTGACCCAAGAACATTATTTCTGATTTGCCCAGTTCACACTTGTCCGGGTTGACCACTATTCCATTATCCGGAAGGCGTTGGAATGGGAGTATTAGGTGTTGATAATGTTCATCTACGTTTGATGTTGCGATTAGCTGATCATCAATATAGACGTGAACAAAATCAAAGTCTCGTACTATGCTGTCGACAAACCTTTGGAAAGTTTAAGCAGCATTCCGTAATTCGAATGGCATTCGTAGGAACTCAAACAGACCAAAAGGAGTCGTGATAGCGATTTTCTTGATATCTTCAAGAGCGACTGGGATCTGATGATATGCTCGTACCAGATCAATCTTAGAAAAGATAGTCGTGCCCTTGAGCGACGCCGCGATGTCGTGTATGTGGGGGATGGGATAGCTATCAAAGCATGTAACCACGTTTAATGCTCAGTAGTCGCCGCACGGTTTCCAACGAACCCCATCTTTTTTGCGCACCATGTGTAGAGGAGAGGCCCATGGACTGTGAGAAGGACGAATAATACCAGTAGCTAGTAAATTGTCAAACTCAAGTTTAGCGAAAGCTAGCATGTCCGATGCCAGTCGGCACGGTCTTGTCGTGACCGGGGTTCCGCGGGTGACTATGTGGTGTACCACACGATTGGTCACCGATGTAATCTCTTCGAGTGGTTTAGTTAATACGGGGAGTTCCTCGAATAAAACGGGGAATATATCGTCACACGCAGCCGTGTTGGAAGATGCCCTCGTTGGGCGAGTGTATGCGGCTTTCTGAGAGCGTGATCTGACTCGAGGGACGTAGGGCGTGAGTATTTCTCAACGGTCTCGGAAGTTACGACGTGTATGAATGCAACCGTCTCTATCACCTTGAGCCGGGAAATGACTAGTGTCGACATCCACGTTCGAAGATGACGTTGAGGCGTCTATGTACTTGTCCCGGTTGCCAGTTTTGCAAATATTTTGTCTGCTATGAGGGCCACCTGGATGAGTGATGCGTCCTCGAGCAGGGCCATGATCGTTGGTTGGATGTGTGCTGGTGACGATTTGAGCCACAATTCTTCAACAATTTTGGAATCAGCTGCCGTAGGTCCTGCAAGGGATGGTGGCTCGGCTTAGCATCACCCAGAGGGTGACGTGTGTTATATCCCGGTGAAGATTAAATTTCAGGTAACTTCCGAGGACTATTAAGGGACTAATATTCTATAAATATTCTTACTGTAAAACCATTGAACAGTTAGATTATGTATATTTATATTCCGCTTATTATAAGCTTTATTTCGACCTATAATTTATTATTGTACGATTTACGGTTCTTAAGTTGTGCTCAGTCTATTAATTGCTGTCCCTCTCGTTCACAGCCACGTTTTGGCGTATTTGTGTACATATGTTATTTTCTATTTTATGGTACGTTGTGGTCTGTCTGATTGATATATAAACCGAGTATGTCTGAAATGCACGATTCAATTCATATTACAGAAGCTGGTATTGTGTTCTGGACTCAAGTGTAAGGGCTAGAAGGACATAAGACCAATAAGGACGCTAAACTGCTCATACCGGTTGAACGTCATTGGTTCGGCCTAGTGCGAAGATTGTATAAATCGTATTCTGATTGGTCGATAAGTCGCGTGATAGAAAAGCCAAACATCAAGGTCGTAACAACGTGCTAATAATTTCCCCAACCGTTCCTCATTCGATGGGAGGAAATGATGGACGATAGCCTCCTTGAGACGATCATAAACGTTAGGCACATTGGGCTAAAGACGACCTCACGAACAGCGACTATGTGATCCCCTGGTAGAGATTTCGGAGCGTAGGCGTATTTTCGCCGTTGGCCTGTAATGCGACGGTTCTCGACCCGAGATTCCAATGCAGCGAGCCAAACTTTCGGGTCATGAGGGATCAAAGATACATGTCGAAAATGTTTAACCTGTACGTCAGAATCTATTATATTAATACTGTCTTTATCTTTATCCGTCATCTCAAGTTGTTGCCAGGATATTATATATTGAAAAATATCAATGTCAAAATGTGCAACAGACTTGGATAGGTAAGTAATAGACTCACC